GTTGTTAAAGCTTTAAGTGGCAATAGAGGCAGGTATCTCTTGTAGTGTTATTATTTAAGAAATTGAGGTAGGAGGGGTGGGTTGTTTATTTGGGAGGGGTGCTTGACATTATGGCTTAGGGGCTGGGCAGTTTTTTCAGGAAGGGTGCTTATTAGAGCAGGGGTGCTATTCAATGACCAAGATCAACATATACCATCATTTTTCTTTTTTTATTGATACTCATATTTCTTATTGAAAATCTTACAGCTGTAGGAAGTGAACAATCTTCAGCTGTAGTAGACGTTCCAATTAGAGATGACAGTGAACGAGACACTTGCAGTCCAACTCCTTTAGGAGGCAGCAACAAACTGGGGATGTCTAGTGGCTGGTCATCAACATTTGAAACTGAGGCTGTAGTGGATGCTGTTGATGGCAGTAGCTGCAATGACCAGGCGGACACTGCCGACCCACTTCCCAGTTCTCAAGAGAGGCTCAGTCCCAGAATCCCAACAAAGACACAAACACCCAGTTTTGGGACTCTGTTAAGGGATTACAGTGTCCAGGGAAGAAAAAGATTTGAGCCCCCTGTGTATGTTGATGGTGCAGTACCAACACAACCAAAGCAGGTGCAAAGTAGTCAGGTTCATGTTTAGCTTTTTTTTTGCCAATATTTGGTTAAACCTTTCACTCTCGTAAGTGACAAAGACACAAATTCTTCTTACAAAGTCAATAAGATGTCAAGTAGACAAGTGGTGAGAGTAAAGAAAAATGAAAACTTACCAAGGGATTATCATCTGATCCAACACCAAATTCTCATAACTTACATTAGGAGAAATGTATGACCATTATTGAGGAGAATTACCATTGACTGACAGAGATAATGGGAGTGGAGGCTTAGGGTCAATAGCTTGAAAGCAAAGAAACAGTCCTCTATGAGGCATGTCAGTTTTTAGGAATTTAAGTTTTTTAGATTGTCGTAATCCATCTGCAAGAATTAGCTACTGCAGCAGCAGTTTGCAATTTGTGGTTTTCAGTAAAAATACTTTAAAATCCTGACTAGCATCTAATTTCTCCCTATTGTATCACCCCCGAATCACATATCGAGCTCACAAGAATAAAAGTAAATGATCAGCAAACAAAGAGGCTCTGGATTTTTAAGCAAATTCTCATTTTCAACACCTTTGGAAGTGTATAGAGATCAGTATGGAGAATATGCATACTGATGTTAGAGTTTAAAGTATTACAGAATGACAATTATGAATTAGGGTAAAGATTGATGATGACTATATTGATATTGAGATTAACAAATCAAATTGTATCAATCTCTCAATGTTAAGATTCCAAAAACAAAGAGGAAACCTGAGATGCAACTATCTGAAACTATCACAGCTTCTGGTTTTGAGGTTTTGCAGAAAAGTAGTTCGGTGCACTCAAACCATGGCGACAATCGTTCCTCAGAGTTGATGACACTAGTGACAGAGATTGCCACTGAGCAGGGGTTGGACAACCAAAATTATCAATGCAAGGGATGTGGAAGAAACATAGGTGGGTCATTGTTTTCTTTAGTAAAAATCATTGTTACTGTGATTAACATTAAAGGTGAGTAACTTCTCAGTAGTTGGTGCAGTGAGGGGCATAGTCTGGATTTTTCTAAGGGGGCATCACACCCAGTTTACCTACCTTACTGTCATGTTGACATCCATGCTCTACATGTTTTACTGAAAGAGACATATTGTTGGATGAGCATTGAGTGTTGCATGTATAGTGTCCAGTTCATCTAGTAGTGAGGGTATGAGCCCAGGCTGAATCAATCTGTTGTGTGTGTGAACAAGACAATCCACTCTCATAGTCCTTATATTCTCCCAGGAGTATGTACCAAGGAACTGTCCCCTAAACATGAGAATGTGTTTACTAGGATGACTCTCTCATTTTCAGCAAAAAAAAAAAAAAATTGGAGATAAAATTAAGGGTGCTGTGATTCACTCCCAAAGTTCCATGCAGCTCTCTAGCAACAATTTCCTTTTTTGCAATGTTTTTTTTGTTTAACTCGTATGATTGACTCAGCAGAAAACGGAGGGAATGCTTGTGGTTAAGAAAATTTGTTGGTTTATAATCTTTTGGACTGGCATCCAATTCAAAAGAAGCAATGTTGTAAATTCTTGTCATGCTACAATACAACTTAGAGGTAGTTGGCCCTAAATGCATGCAAAAAACGTGTTTATGTATGGAGCAGTCTTTTGTTTTACTATTTGTTTAACTTTGAATGGTGTGTTAGATTTACAACAAAGGCCTGGAGTTATAGCATTTGGCATCAGTTCATTTTTGAAATGGCTTGCCTGCATTGTGAAGAAAAAGGAAAAAGATTTTGACGTGCTGGGTACCTCTTTAGAAAGCAAACAAGATCAGGAAATATCAAGTTCAATAAAGTCGTTTTTGTAAAAGTTTATGGCTTGCAGCTAGCAGCAAAACTTGAATAATTTGTCATCAATTCTCAGTAAAGTTATATGTGAAGTCAATTTGCAGTTTCCTGAATTGAAAACTGGGATGAGTTCTAATGTACTTGGAAGGCTTAAAAACTAACAAACAAACAAACAAACACAAATTGTTGACAACCTTAATCAAACAATTTACCCCTTAACTCCCACCAGTGACCAAGACAGAATTTCTCCTTACAATATCATTACAATATCAAACAGACAAGTGAGGAGAATAAAGAAAAATATTGGTGAGGGGACTATTAAAAATTGATTCAATACCAAATTCTCCAAACAAACATCACAAGAACTGTAAGGCAGATAGTAAGGAGAATTACTAATGAGATCTTGGGAGTTAAAGGGTGAATTAATGGTGCCTAAAATTTATTTTGCCAGTAGTTTTGTTTATTATTATTTAGGAATGATCTATGGAGAATTTAAAGTTTGTACCTATGATGCCAGCTACTATTGTTTTGAATGTCATGAAAATGAAGAACATGTTATACCTGCAAGGGTGATTCACAACTGGGATCTGCGTAAACACCAAGTCGCTAAAAAGTGCAAGATGTTCCTGATGCAGATAGAGGAAGAACCTTTGTTTAATATTGATGAAACAAATCCTACGTTGTACAATGTAATCAAGGAGTTACTTGAAGTTAAGGTTGGTCTTGAAAATGGCAGTGATAAAATTCTCAATTATTTCTCAACATGTCAAGATACTTTTAATTAATTTTTTTCAGCACAAAAGTTTACCATGATTATAATAACAACATTGCAATCTTTTAAAAACAACTTCTGAGATAGATATTAGTATTATGAGCCTGTAATGATAAGATTGTCCCTGTTTCTATCATGCAAGTGCTGAGTCTGTATACCAAGATTATTAATTCTGCAAAGTGTCAAAAAAATATACACACACAGTTCAGCACATTCTCAATATTTTGTCAAGGGGGGTTTTTTCTGTAGAAACTGTGGTGCTGTGTCGGGGGGAGAGTATAAAAGGTAATTTAGTGTTAACAACTGAGTTGAAAGGGTAAATTCAGGTTACTGTAAAGAGTTTAAAGGCTCAATCAATGGCTCTGACAAAGGGCTAACACTCAGATCTTAAACAAGACTTGGTTTCTTGGGCTGTGTGATCTCCTCGTAACTAAACAACCATACCCTCAGATCTTTTGGCCTTTGTAAATTTATTTAATTTTAATATCAATTGCTGAAGACACTTTAATTTGGAAAACCAAAGGCACTATTAGACTGATCTTCTGAGTCATGTTTCATTCACAGGTATTGAGATCACAGCTACAGCACTTAAAAGGCTTCCTTTTTACTTGTAAAGATCCAATAGCAGAGGATGTGAGGAGAAGGATTTGGCCTCGGGAATATCTTTGGGATGATATCCATCAGTATTCCTTACTGGTCAGTGTCAACCTTAAAATTTGATTTTACATTGGAACCCCACTGTAAGAGCCACGTTGGGGACAAAGGAAAGTGGACTTGGTTAAAGGGGTTGCAGTTTTTTTTCTTGTGGAGGGGGGGAGGGGTGTAAAATTCTATGTGTGTTTTGGGAGGGGCAGGCTTTATCTATCTCACAAATATTTTATCACTCTCAAGAAATATACTGGTATATATGTTATTTGTGAAATGAAATGTCTTTAGGAAAATTGTCAGAAAGACAAATTAAAGCAAGCAAGGTATATTGGGTCTATCAGACTGGTGTACAGTCACTTTGAGTGTTTCAGACGTTTATTTTCTCTTTTGTGAAATAAAGTTGTCAAGATTTGTCTGCTAGGTTGCAGTGTGGCACTTTTCTAAACCATTTGTTGGTTGGTGATTGCCAAGCTGTTTCCAACCCTTTAACTCCATGAGTGACCAACAGAGAATTTCTCCTTACTATATCAATACAATATCAAGCAGACAAGTGATGACAGTAGAGAAAAACATCAATTAGGGGATTAGTAATTGATCCAATACTTAATTCTCTGAACTGAATTACAAGAATTTTATGACAGACAGTAAGGAGAATTACTATTAATGATAATTATTGTCAAATGAGATCTTGAGATTGAAAGGGTCAAGAGGTTGTTATTAATAGCAGTGACATTGCACTTAATCTGCAGTTCTGGAGAGGTGTTGTTCAAGAGATGCATCTCTTAAAGTAATGGCAGTTTCAGTAATGTTAATTTTGCGATACATAGTGTTTGCTTACAAAGTTTTTGGTTCTACAAAGTTTACTTTTTTTTTAAATTTGTATTTAAGGATTTGATTCAAGTGCAATCTGGGCAGCTGGCTCATCATCTTAAAAAGGTCATTGCCCACTGTACAAAGCATGTGTACAAGTGTAAGGTGAGAAATTCTGACTGTAGTGACTGAAATAGATCAGTGCTCGGAAACTACTTCTTCCCATATAATGTACTTCACCCTTTAATCCTTAGGAGTGATCAGCATTTAAATTCTCCTTATAAGATCAGCCCTGAGTCAAACATTAAGGTCACAAGAATAAAGGAAATGATCACAAACTATTAAGAGGTTCTTGATTGTTGAACAAATTCTCCTTGTCAGCACCTTACGATTTGTGTAGAGAACAGTAGGGAGAATATGCATACTGATATAGGCTGTAGAGAGTTAATAGACTGAGTGGGAGGACTGCATTGGAAAATAATTGGCTTGAGCTACTGACATACAGACCTGCTGCACTTGAAGCATGCATTGTGACCAAGAGCCATTTATTTTCCTGTCTCACCTGATGACCTAACTAAGTAAATGAGCAGGTCATTCCTCTTTCTGCCATTAATGCAGAGGTACATTAAATTGTTAAAGAGTCTGGCATTTTTCCTTTCAGCTCTGTTGCCAAAAAGGATTTTTCTGTGAAATATGCAATGACCCAAAAATCATCTATCCATTTGAAGTGAAAACCACAACTCAGGTAATATTAATCATTACTTTACTACCAATTCACCCAGTAACAGTTTGTACCCACTGTTATACAGATGATAATGCATATAAGCAGCCTGACATCCCTTTTCATGCTGTGAAAAGGTTTTGTTTATTGCTATTATGAAATATGAAAGTACAAATATTAACATTTGTCTTAAACTGAGATCACTTCAAAACGGACTGCAATGTTTCTACTAATAGTAATTGCATAACGCACAATGTTTGCATAATGCTTGTATTCTTCAAGAGTTGGGGTTAAATGTTATGTTTCAACTTAAACATCATCAGAAATGGCAGTGGTTTGTTAGGTCTCATAAGCTGACATATTACAACTGGCTATCTGCTCTAAGGTTATATGCATAACCAGTTGTTTACACACCTCATAACCTGGAGAAGACTAGCAGTATACAGTTGGAAAGTAGCCTGTTCTAAGCATGCAGTTTGTGAAATGGAGTAATCCAGTAGCTATGTGATAAGAGTGGCAGCGTGAAAAGCAAGAGAGGCTTGTGTCATGTCACTTACAAAACATCATGTGACTTGACTCAACACTTCCTCGTTTTCCACTCATACAAAAGGAAGTTTATTTTTTTAATGAAAAAATTGACAGTGGTTAAGTATAGTCTGTACTCTTATCAACAACAATATTGGTCATCACAGTGGTTAAAATGTTGTGGACTCATGAGACGCATCCAAGTGAGTCTACTATCTATATTACACTGTTGTTGATAAGAGTACAGACCACACTAATCCACTGTCAATTTGTTAATTAGACTTCTTACTGTATGAGTTGATTGTATGATGTCAATTTGTTTTTTTACCACAATATCAATGCCAAATTTTCCAAGTCATCCATTTTTGAGAGTTGATAAAGGCATGGCATTATGTTGATGCAACAGTGTTACTTGTACTCTCATCAACAAAATAATGAATGCAAACTGGGCCATCTGATTGCGATATTCCTGCCAAATGTGGTAAAAAAAGAAATTCACTCACAAAGAAATTCATAAGAGAAATATTCTGTCCCACAATGTTTCTTCATGATGCACCACAAAAACTTCTAAGGTGCTCAAAACATTAGAAAGAAGGTTTGCTGGGTTTTCACTCGGACATATAAAAGTATGTATAGCTGAAGAGAAAAAGCTAAGGCCATTGAAATTTAGTGGGAGAATTCTGCTTTTTCAAGCTGCTTTGTGGTTTTAACTTGATTGAGAAACCATCATAGCACTCAGAATTTAAGGCATACATTAATTAAATCCTGATTAAACTAAGCTGACCTTTTTTGCTCTTAAAAAATTGCAGTGTGGAAAATGCAAGGCTCTGTACCACAAGGCTTGTATTGCTGAGAACAAATGTCCAAAGTGTATACGGATAAGAAAAATACAATCTGCAAGAACAAAAACTGCAGCTGTTCTGGAGTTTGATTCACCATGGTAGTGGCAAACAAGCAAGGCTTTCACTAACTTTTTCCATAAGCAACAGGTGATGGTGTAATAGAAAGCTGTGCCTGGAGAAGGGGTGGTACATGAAAACCCAAATGCCAGGGCCTGCTTGCAGCCAAATTTGATGGCAGTAAGAGGTCTCATAGGCAGTGGTAGACCATTAAGCTGAGTTGTTCAAAGCTGGGTTACGATAACTTAGGATTAATGCAAAATTTGATGTCAGGGAACAGTTTTTTCTAACACAGATTAGTGCTGACCCAGGGTTAAATTTTAGTACAGGTTTCTATATTTCTCTATTCAAAAGCATTTTTGGATTAATTTTCTCCATCCAATTTCAAATTGTAGGAAAAAGGATTGATTTGGATTTTTGTTTAAAGCTCTCAGATCTGAAATCAAATTTCACACTTACCCTGAGTTCTCTTAAACCAGCTTTGAACAACCAAGCTCAGATCTGAAAGCTTTCAAATAAAATCCAGCATAATTCTTTCTGTCTACAATATTGTGATTGGATGCTTGAAAGAGGATACAGAAAATTATTCCAAGTAGGCTTTTTTATAAATAAATCAAAGAAACCCAGATTAAAATTTAACGTTGGGTTAGCGCTAATCAGCTGTCAAACAACTGGGCCCTGGTAACCAGCTTAGACTGTACCTCCTGCATATGTAATTTAAAAATAACAAAAAAACATGAAAAATCTTTAGACACATTTTAACAATTTAATTTATTACATTGTACATTACTGTTACAGTAATAACACTGTATCTACATTGTATTTCATGATATTTTTCAATGTTAACCCTTTCACTCCCACAAGTGATCAAGACAGAATTTCTCCTTACAATATCAATACAATATCAAGCAGGCAGGTGATGAGAATAGAGAAGAATATCAATCATGGGATTATTAGTTGATCCAATACCAAATTCTCTGAACTATCATTATAAGAATTGTATGGCAGATAGTAAGGAGAATTACTAATTAGATCTTGGGAGTGAAAGGGTAAAAAAATAGCTGTATCAAACTTTGTAAAATTAACTCTAAGATAAAAGAATCCAGACGCATAATATTGTAAGTCGTGATGGAAAAAAAGTATTGTCTTTAAATGGTACTTTTCTAGCTTTGCCCAGTCTGTGTTAATTTTGTAAATTAAATAAGAAAAAAGTTGAAATTTTGTAGTTGCAAAATTTTATAATGTATTCATCTCAATTGCAATAAACATGGTATCTTTTTTAGCTCTGACTTGCTGCATTTATACTCAGGACCCAAAATTTAGAATAAATTCCTTAATTGTCTTTTGGTGTCTAGATGGCAACTATGATTGCTAGTGGTAAATTTCTAGTCACCAATTTAAAAGCTGAGTCCATATCTACCATAAGAATGGCATTTAATTAATTAAATGAATTAAGTACTTGAAATTCTGTGCCCTATTGAAAAGGAGGAACAGAAATCACATACTTAGAATGTGTGTCTAAGGATGGAGGTAAGATGGCAACAGGCTTTGCTAATGCCAGTTCCCTCATTTTTCTCAAGGCAGAAGTAAAACAGACAACATGAAGTGCTTTTGTACTTGGTTTGTTTGTCTTTGAATTTAAAACAATACAAACACCTAATTTAGTGTTAGCAACTGAGTTTAAAATGTAAATTGGCCACCACAAAGAGTTTAAAAAAAAAAAACTAAAAGAAAAACGCTTTACAGTGGCTATTTTACATTTTCAACTCAGTAGTTAACACTAAATTACCTACTATACTCTCCCTCTGACACAGCACCACAGTTTCTTTAGAAACTTACCCCCTTTATTCAATACAAACACCTAGTCAGCAGGTGACTAGGTCAGAACTTTTGGTCACCAGCGGGAATACTAAGGCGTCATTGGTGCCCATACCTGTCACAATCTGGAGCCCTAGTTCTTCTTTCTGAGTTTGTTGTGGAAAAGCACAGGTCATTTTCATTGTGCAACTTTAATTCCCTGTTTTAAAATTCTAACCAAATCACGGTAATCTTTCTTCTTGTCAGAAAACTCTGCCTTTGCTTCTTCCATGGCTGTAGGTGGTTTGTCTTCTGGAATTGCATCAAATGGCCAAACTTCATTTTCTAAGCTTTTCACTGCTTTTTCCTTAAAAGGAAAACAAAACATAGTTATAAACAACAAAAGAAAAAGTTCACTGTACAGACTTTTTGTATGGAAGCAAAAAACTGCATGTAACTAATTCCTTACCCTCTCAGAAAGCACCTGTTTTATTGCAGCCATTGACTTCTGGACCTGAATACAAAAAAAGTAATGGTGACTGACTTAGCATAGCTGCACTGTTTAAATAATGATAATTTCTTTTTCAAATTTTAGTGTGAATCACTCAGCCGCCTTACTCCCCAGATCTCACTAGTAATTCTCCTTACTGTCTCTGAGTCAGTCACTGTGCATGTTTTGGTTGGAATTATTCCTTACTATTGTAAACTTTTTTCAAAACAGTTTCATTTTCATTTTCTCTTTGATGTGTACTTATTGTTCATAATTTGATCCACAATACACAAGTTCTTCATCTTTTACCTTATGGGTTCTTGTAGGAGATGGCATTGGAAAACTCTGTCTTTTTGCTTCATGCTTCAAAGTCATAAGCATGTTCCTCTCCTTCAGAAGAACATACCTGTAGGACAACATGTATTAATTCAGTATTTGAGTTTGATCAGTACTGGATTATTTTTTCTCGACAGAAACTCTTACCACAATTTATGAAGGTCTTCATTACTTTTCCCTCTCAGTTCTCCAGCATGCCATTTTCTACCTTAAAAAGACCATATTGATGACTTATTAATAGAGAGTCAATACATTTAAAATAAAATTCTGCTATCCTGAACACACTGTGTGAAATCACATGAGGTAATGTGCTGTTGATGTCTTTCAATTAATTATTCAACTGATCAGTCTGACAGTGAGTCATTCACAACCAGTCAATGATGATCATTTGGTTGGTCAATGGGTTTGTCACTGACCAACAATTAGTCAGTTAATAAGTTAACAAGTCAGCCAGTTAGATAGTTGCTCAGCAAGTTAGCTTGTCAGTCAGTGAGGCAGAGAGTCAGTAGGTCCATCAGTCTGTAAGTCAGTCAATAAGTCAGTAAGTAAATCAGTCTGGCAGTTGGTTGGAAGGACACTCATTCAGCCACTCAGGGAGTCAGTTTGGCAGTTATTCCGTCAGTCAGTTGTTTGGTCAGTCAATCAGTTGTTCAGTAAATGAGTCAGTTGCCTTTGTACATGGTTGTTATGAGTTGGTCAGATCATTGGATCAATGCATCAATAATTCAGTCATTCAGTAATCAAGCAATCAGTAGCTTCCAAATATTTGAATATTCTGTTGTATATGCCACAAAAAACGAGCCCAAAGAATATAACTCATGAAGGTAATAAGGAAGTAGATATCAGGGAGTGATCAAAGAGAAAAGGTCTTCAAACCTGACTAGCTAGTGATAAATAGTGATGCTTTGAATTATATTCCGAAGAATTTCCAAGGTTTAGACCAACTAAATAATACAAGTCCACTAAGGGTTATCTTTTTAGCAGTCACCGGATCAGACTAAACTATGAGAATTGCATAATACCTCAATTCTGATTAAATGCGATGAAACTAAATGGCCTCGAATGCAATCTATAAATTTTCTACAATTTCACCTGTATGAACTTTCTCTTTAGCTAATTCTCCTTTTTTAAACACTTCAGGTGGAAAAAACTCTTCCAAACCAAAGGCACACGGACTTGTTCGTAAACCGCGAAGACAAGATCTGCCACGACAAAAGTGAAAATAAATTAGTTATTTGGCGTTATTTAGTTTAAGAGCAAACCTCTCTGTACCACGGAAGCTGTACTGATACCTGATCTGCAGTTCTTCCACAATAAGAGGTCGAAATGCGCAACATCGAAGGTTGTGCAAGACGGCCGCCATATTGCTTTTCCGCGCTTACATAATATGCGCAAAAGATAATACTGCTGGTGTATTGCAGGCACTTCCGTGAGACGGAAGACCGAATCGCGCCTTCTCGCGTGGGCGCGTGAATAGTGAACAAAATAATTACATAATCGCGGAAAATTGTTTTTAATTTTTTCAAGCATCGACTAAATTTTTTGTTCAAATGCTAGTCACACAAAAACAGATGCTTTTTTTTTTTTTGTTTTTACTCTTTTTTATGCAATAGTTGATGATAGGTATGGGAGTCTATCTCTCGGTTTACAAAATACAAATCTTCGGCGAATTTCCAGTCCTTAATTAGTGGAAAGTTACGACAAAAATCTGTTTTCGTCTAATTAGTGTACAGAGCGAGCCGAGAAAGAGGATGAAAACAAACTCTGAGATGACAAAACCCGACACACCATTGTAGATTAGCATAGAAATCTAATTAACTTGTTCATCTTTTCAGAGCAGTTGTTTATTTTTCCTAAGCCTGTTTACTTCACATCGAGGTGTTTTCATCAAAGCTGAAAAATCTCAATTTTCCTTTGGCCTCCTCCAATTCTCTGGCGAGTGATAATAATTTAAGAAAGAATTTCTGTCGGTTAGTCTCTCAGGAGACCTTATTAAATGCGTTAAAGATTCGTTGACGTAATTGCTTCGAGACAAATAACTTCCTCAGCGCTTTGTAAGGCTTTCAAAGAACTAGGAAATCCACTGTGTTTAGCGGATTAGAAGTTGGTAACCGCATGCATTATTTAGTAAGAATTTTGACGTCGAATGGATTGTCATGACACTGCCAAAAACTTCAATAGTCTCGCCAATATATTCGGGCCAATTAGATTTTTCCCGAACGCTGTTTTGTAAAAGCTCTGCTTGCAGATGACTAATGGACAGAACTGGTATATAATCACCTCTTAATCTACTATAAAAGGAAATATTTTTCAAACGCATATTACTCCTCTGTTACGTAGATTAAGCGCTACTTCAGCTTTTATAACAGATCCACATCCTGTCAAAGACTTAAGAGCTTTAAAAGCATTGAGCCAAATGCCAAAAAAGTGAAAGTTACTTCTGAAGAAATGTTTACACAAGATGAAAGCTTGGCTGGTATAGAACTGTCATATGTGCGCTAAAAAGCTGCAGAGACAATGAGACTTTGAAGTTTTACAAGACAAAGCTTGGTGTGAATGCAGGAGACATTCGAACATATTTCACGCTCGTTACAAACCGCCATGGAAGGGAAAAAAGATTCCGAATTCACGAAAAAGGTGCGGTTCGACCTAAACGAGGAGGTTTTTCTTATTCCAAGTAAATGGGACCGACTGAGCAAATGTAAAACTGCCAGTGCGAAAAACACCGATGGAGCGGCGAACAAACAGAGCTCCAGAAATCGTGCTGCTGCGGAACGCCGGTGCGAAGCGACTCGTGGTAAACAAAACAAAACTAAAGACAGAACGACAAAGGGTGTCTCAAATCGCGAGTCAAACGGAATACTTTCAGAAAACGGCAGATTAGGTGCTACACTCAATGGTATAACCAACAGCGGAAGAAAAACTGCGCGACATAGAGAAGGAAGAGAAAATTCTCACGTTACGAATTCGACGCCTCCGGTTGAAGGGAGATTAAAACTATATCATCGCCCTTCCCAAGAACTGCAGAACCTTAGCCTCGTTTTACCTAAAATTCCATATACGCCAGATCTTAAAAAGGCGATCGAAAAAGCGCTGCAAAGATCTCGCCGTAAACCAACTTTGGACAATGGTCTTCACAGTGCTGCAACGGACACACGAGAAAATAGGGCTTTGGAAATTTTCGACTCCTTTTCGAAGGAAAATGATAAAGTAATGCCTCAAAGGAGGCTTTCGGATAGTTCTATTAGGACAGGAGATAAAAAACCGACCGGAAATAAACAAACCCCGGACAAGGAAAGTGATTCTAAATTTAGCGAACTTTCCACAGATTTTAATGGCTCGACTCCATTCTCCGCATGGAGTCCAAAAGAAAGCACGTATACCTCACGATCAAACACTACACCATCTGTTCTAACAAGAGGGCGCTCCATGCCGTCGATAATACCAAGCAGCATATTATATTGATACATCAGTAATGTTCTCCAATTTGATCGACCGACTCTTGCAGTGGCTGAACAAGTTACTTTACTAATACCTCAATCACACCAGCAAAACATGTTTAGTTAGTTAAACTGCGTTTAGTCGAGGGAAAATTAGAAACAGAAATGAAAACTGAATTTCCCATTAGTTCTAAGTACTCAAGAACTTGTTTTTCAAGCGCTAAATTTTAACAAGATAGACATCGGTTAAAGCAGCTTAATTCTTTGAAGAAAAATAAATTTAACCGCGTCGAACAAAACAGTTTTAAAACATGTTTAAACTTTGGTGTGAATGAGGTATAAGCTGCTGGTTAAAATTACATTCCAGGAGTTAGGACTTAACTCTAGAAAAAGATATGGAGTATTTATG